GACAATCTACTGAATTCATTTGCATTATTTGATTGTGGTATTGGGTTTCTAATAAGCATACTGTGTTGAGAGAGTTCTGTCCTTAAATGCAGCTCTTATATAGATTAGTCAAACTAGCTGGCTATTTAGTTTTCCATTGATGCATTGTTTTCTTTTCCAGGTGTCAAGCCCCCGTCCAAATTCACCGCCGTTATCCATGCAGTTACTCCTTTAGTTTCTCAATCTCAACCTGTGCTGAAACTCCTGGTGGCTGTAGCCAAATCCCAGTACTGTGCCCAGGTGAGAACAAAGCTTGCTCTCCAAAGGATTTTTAACTCCATGTTTTCTGTGAATGTGAACCATTTTTTTTTTACTTCTGCCTTTCATTCAGCATTGATCGGCATTGTCTCTTGGTACCAGACAGATAGGTTTTGGAAACCTTGTTTAACATCATGGCCAATGGCATAGAGCAGGTTAATTTGTCGTAGTGACTCTGTTTGATATGTTTTGCATTTGCTTTGCAGTTTGTGGTTAGGAAAAGATATCAAGAATGACAACAGACAAGGGGAGTGATTTTTTCTCTTTTTATAAACTGTTTTCACAATTCTTATAGCTATGGGGAAAGGAATAGTTATGGAAAAAGAAATTGCTATAATGCACTTTGCTTTTTGGTCGACTATTTACTATATTTATACCCCGCTCTTCTCACCCCGAAGAGGACTCAGAGCGGCTTACAGATCATGCAAAATTCAGTTCTACATTGTACATACAAATATTAAATATAACATTTCAAATTATAAAACAATTAAAATATATAAATGCAATGCAATAAAACTAATTGCTGGAATATCGCTTTCTATTGCACAATTCCCAATTGGCCAGTGGTTCTGCAACTAAAAATAGTCAATTCTGGTGGATATTATTGCTGTAGTAATTTAAGAACACAGGTCCCTCTTCTCCCCCCTCCCCTGACCTCCATCCCCCTCCCCATAATGTCCCAGCCCTTCTTTACACGCTCCCCTATCTACCCGTCCGCACAGATTGCAAGGTTCCTTGAGTACAGGTTGGGTAGCGTAGTATTGCCCTGGGCCTTCGTGGGGGATGGTAAATAAGGATTGAAGTCCTTGCGGGATGGGAGACGGGTTTTTTTTTTCCAAATCACTATATAATGTTTGGGAGTGCATCTTCCATCAGCCCTGGTGTGTGATGTGTGCACCCTTGCCAGGGGCCCCCCATTTGGCTAGTCATGATGGTCCAACATGGTCTGGGTAGTGGACTAGGAACCCAGTTCTGCCTTTGGGTATAGGGTATAATGCTGGACCCATCAGCAAAAGGGCTGGAGCATTTCTGCACAGTGTACCATCTGCTGCATCATTTATCATTGATGCAGATTGTGTTAGATGGGTTTACACTCTCCTTGACAATGCAGATTTGCATTCCTGGGCTCTGCTTTGAACTTGGAGCCCCAGATTTCTGCGGAGGCCAGGAGTGCTTTGGCCTGCTTTTATATTGCATTTTTGGAAGTGTCTCTGGATTTTTTGCTTCTCTCGCAATAAGCTTAGTAGATCCCTCCAGATGCTGCACAGATTGTAGTCATAATGGCATTTGTCAAACAGGGTGTTTTTCTCATTGTCAGAACAGCAGAAGTTAAAAATAAAATAGAAGAAATAGAAAGATGAAGCAAAAATAAAAGTTCCCTAGATAGAAATGAAAGTGAGCTCCCCCCCCCCCTTTTTCCTCCCTTCATTTCTTTTGTGTAAATTCTAAACTGGACTGTAAAGTAGTTAACTTGGCAGATGCTATCTTCTTTGAGTTGTGATCTGTGTTGGTAGCAGTTGTATCAACATCCCTAGTTTCCTCCAATTTGAGGCTCAAGGCATCTTACAACACTTTAAACTAACATGGTTTAATATTCTCAGCATACTAAAATTTAAAAGTAATTAACTATTAAAAAGTTTTAAAAACTATTCAAAAGTTTTTAAAACTACCGGGCTGTGGCACAGCTAGTTAATAGGCAGCTGCATTAAATCACTACTGACCGAGAGGTCATGAGTTCAAAGCCAGCCCAGGTCAGAGTAAGCTCCCAACCATTAATAGTCTAGCTTGCTGTCAACCTATGTAGCCCGAAAGACTAGTATTTTCTCATCCTGGCATTCAGAAAGTCCAAAAGTGGTGTTGCAATGGACAGAGTAAAAGAGTCAGTGCTTTGAGTAAGTCCAGGACTAAGTTCTAATTTTTCACCACTCTACTCAAGGAAGAGAATGGTTACTTTTAAAATTAAGGTTTAAGGTACAGTACTCACATGGATAAGCCAACCCAGTTTTTTTCTCACTATTTTTACTTAAATTCCTACACTTGTACACAAGTATTTGCAGTCAGCAGTTCTTTTACTAACAGAGTGGTTCCTTTCTATTTCCAGATCATTGTCTTATGGAATTGTGATAAACCCCTCCCTGCCAAGCACCGTTGGCCTGCCACTGCCGTGCCTGTCATTGTCATAGAAGGAGAGAGCAAGGTAAGTGGAGGTCCCATCGTGACAATCAGGCATGAAGAAGTCAGAATGGGAGTTTGTTACTGTTTATGGAAATATATTGCAATTCGCTTCTCATCTTAAAAGCTTTATCACATTTGTTGATGCGGCTTTACCCCACTTTCCATGAAGTTCCAAGACATCTTACTAGAACCAGAATAAAAAAAAAAAACAAGACTCAGAATCAAGTATGGATTCACCATCACCTTTATCTAGGATTCCAAAGTCTGTAAAGCTCCAAAATCCAAAATTGCCACATGTGGGCTAAGATAGTGACACTTTTGCTTTCTGGTATTTCAGAAAGCATTAGAAAGCAGAGAATCATAGAATCATTAAGTTGGAAGAGACCTCATGGACCATCCAGTCCAGCTGCCTGCCAGGTAGCAGGAATATTGCATTCAAATCACCCCTGACAGATGGCCATCCAGTCTCTCCTTAAAAGCCTCCAAAGAAGGAGCCTCCACCACACTCCGGGGCAGAGAGTTCCACAGATGAACAGCTCTCACAGTCAGGAAATTCTTCCTAATGTTCAGGCGGAATCTTCTTTCCCGTCGCTTTTGTTTCATGCACAAAAATATTTAAAATTCTGCATAATAAAATGTATGTATGTGTATAAGGTATATATGAAACATACATATGTTTTATGTTTAGACTTGAGTCCCATTTCTAAAATACCTTATTATGTATTCCAAAATCCAGAATTCTGAAATCCAAAACACTTCTGGTCCCCAAGACGGTTTTAAATGGTGTATTTTAATATTGTGATAAATGTTTTTAATTTTTATGTATGTTCATATGAATTCATGTCCTGGCATTGAATGTTTGCCATATATATGCTGTGCTCCGCCCTGAGTCCCCTTTGGGGTGAGAAGTGCGGAATATAAATGTTTAAATAAATAAATATTTTGGATAAGTGCTACTCAATCTGCACATAAACTTATTTAAACAATGGTCAGCAAACATACTCCTAACCAATTCCCAAATGATTGCAAATGTTTTACAGTATTGAAATGGGATCATGCCAAATTCCAGAGCCACCACTGAAAGAGCCCTGATCCTTGTTGTAAACAATGTTCTGCACTGAGCAAATATAGAAAAAACTATTTATTAGTTATTTTTGGCTTTGATTACATGTTTTTTAAAGTCTACAACCTGTTTACATTATTAGAAAATTAAAATCATGGACAATGAGCTAAAAGCAGAAATGCCAAAAACCTGTTAAAATGAGAGCTTTAACATCTTTTTTAATGAAGCATTATGACTTTGGGGAAAATGGGCATCTCTTATGGAAGACCTCCTTACTTACTTAAGCGATCCCTCGTTGTCCGAGTAGGATAATCTTCCAGGATAATCACACTGTGATGGAGAAACTCTCCCAACCTCCATGCAAAACAGAATCCAACGAGGACTCCACTTGTAGATCTTAATTTCTGAGAAGTTTCTTATTGAATGAGATGTTCCCTGAGCTGAGACCTAATTTGAAGATCAAAACATATCTCTCAAATTACCATAGGTATTAAACCAGAGTGTCTTCAATTCAGAATAAATATGAAGTGATGTTCATGCGTAAGTCATGAAGGAAGTGAGAAAGTTCAGCTGGTGCCACTAACAAAAACATGGGCAATTGCCTCATCGTTGATCCATATGGCTGGTTTTGTTGAAATTGTCCTTTCTTTGCCCTACTTTTAAGGGATGCCAACTTCTGAACGTGGGACTTTCTGCAGGCAAAACATGTGCTGTGTCACTTAGCGACAGTCTCTTCTCTGCCTCTTGAGTCACCATAATCACGCATTTCAGTTTTTAGATCTGCCACCAATGATTTCTGCAGCTGAGGAAGTTTCCTATGGGAAGGCACACTGTCTACAATTTCTTTGCTGGCAAATATAGGGTGACAGCCCTTTCTCCTTTACATATTCTAAAACTGGCATTAGCAACGTGGTTCCTTAGAGATTTTCAAATAGAAGTCCCATAAACTCCAGCATGGGAGTAGGGGAGTTGTATCCCAAAATACCTGCACAGTACTTAGTCCTGGGTTTGTTTTAATAGATTTTTCCTTTCACTATTTATCCACATAATTTCTACTTCACTCTTTGGTCAGATCTGATTGCAGTGCGGTGTATGACAGATGGAGATAATAAACTATTTGACTTCTGAGTCAATAAAGCAGTAACCTTAACAGGCATGATAAAAGACAGCAGATAAACATTTCAAGGCAGGTGAAGAGATTGTACAAATTAAAGCGCCCAGGTAAATAAACGCTTATTAAACAGATGGCCAAAAGATGGAGAAGCAGGCATTAGGCATATCATGTTAGGTAGGCTGTTCCATGTAATATCATAAAATAGGGCTATCAAGGTAAAATCAGTGTAGTATTTTAGTCAGGTTCAAAATAGGAAACCTAAGTTCAGCAATGAGACAATGAAATTGGTTGTTGTGTGCTTTCCGGGCTGTATGGCCATGTTCCAGAATCATTCTCTCCTGATGTTTTGCCTGCAACTATTGCAGGTATCCTCAGTGGTTGTGAGGACCTCATAACCTCTGAGGATGGCTGCTATAGATGTAGGTGAAACATCAGGAGAGAATGCTTCTGGAACATGGCCATACAGCCTGGAAAACATACAACAACCTAGTGATTCCAGCCATTAAATCCTTTAACAACACCTGTTCTGTGGAGAAATCCACAATTAGCTATTTTTTGTGAAGTGTGGTGGTTTCCACGTCTTTGGTTTTGTTAATATGGTTTGGGTTTTAATCTGAATTTACAAGAAGCTGAACCTATTTTGGGAATAGGATTTAGCATTTTGGAGAGCTCCTTTGAAGTCCAGACTTAAAAGCCAGGAGGAATTGACGGCTCAGTGCACATCGAAGTCAGCAGCTGCCACTGTTGACTTTGTTGCTGATGTTCCTTTAGATTCACGTTCTGTTTTTCAGCCAAAATGGCCTGAAATTTTTAATCAGCACAGATACAATATGATTACAGAGATGTTGGCAGAGAGGACCAATCCAGGCTTCAGGGGCACAGAAGGAATTAAAGGTGGACTTTGGCTCCTTCCAGTGGTCAAGATGCCAGCCCTCAAAAGCAGCTCTTCCCTTAATTTGCAAAATCTGTAGGTACCTGGCAATTGGGTACCTGGCAATCTCAGGTACCTGTAGGTACCTGGCAATCTCAGTTCTTTGTTCCAGACAGATCCTTTGTGGCTGGAAATAACAGCAAAATATTTTGCCACTCTCTCCTCCTCTGCCCCAGAAAAAGTTTTGGTGCAGTATATTCCTAGACCATAACCAAGCAAGGGTCCACCTTCATGGTTTTGTGCAAGGTATTTGAATGCAGAGACTTATTTCTTTTCACACACACAGATTGGTGTGGCCAGCCTCCAATGCGTGTGCTAAATAGCAAGAAGGAAACTGGTAATCCAGGTCCGACTGTTAAGGAATACAGGAATGCAGTTCAGGGGGTGTTTATCATCGAGCCGTCCAGAGCAGAATGAATTTTCGTTCTTAAGCTGTTCACACATACACACAGAGAGTGTTTTGCAGCTGTTTAAAATGTATGGACCTTGGCTGTGTTATTTTCCACCAAAAAGCTTAACAAGAGAAGTCAGGGCACTGCTAAGCTGGCAGCTAAATAGGTTCCTGCTTCCGATTGGGTCCGTGTGAGGAATATCAGGAGATTCACTTGCAGGACTAAGATAGGAGGCTGCTGTTTAGAGATTGCCCAGCTCTGTGGCCTTTATTGCCTCTCCTTCTCTTTCATATATTGGAGAGCCAAAGGACACAAAAACTAGTTCAAACTCCAAAGCAGAGTTTCTCAAACTGTGCTCCTCCAGATGTTTTGGACTTCAGCTCTCACAATTCCTAACAGTTGGTAAGCTGGCTGGGATTTCTGGGAGCTAAAGTCCAAAACCTGGAGGAGCACAGTTTGAGAAACAGTGTTCTAACGCATGCGTGAGCACTAGCCTTGGACCCATGTAGAGGTCACATAAGAGTTCTCAATTTGGAGAGGTCGAGAGTCAGCTGCACTTTCACTTTCACTTTGGACTACCTTCAGGGAAAAGAAACGCCAAAACGATTGACTTCAAAGTGTCTAAGTGACTATTTGGTGCTTTATATCAAGTTTTTCCAATTTCTGCTCCTTCTTTTTGAGGCCTCCGAATGACCTCTTTGCACCACCTTGCCAGGGCAAATTTGCCAAAAAGTAAGGTCCAGAAACTTTAAAGAAATGCCATTCCATTCTTCCTTCATATTTCCTTCCTCTTCTTCTTTTTCATTCTTAAAGGGAAAGCGAGCAGAAATATAATCATACTCTAGTGCAGTGATACCTAAACTCTAGTACTCCAGGTGTTTTGGACTTCAGCTTCCAGAAGACTGGCCAATGATCAGGAATTCTGACAGTCATAGAAATGCCTAAAGAGAGATCATATTTGTTTTGGTCACATGTAGGGCAGCAGCAAATATAGCAATCCACAAATAACCAAATCCGTGAATGATTAATGTGTAAAGGAGGAGGAAGGACGATATTTCTCCAATCAACTTTTTGATTTATTTATTTCATATCAAAAGCACTGCATAAATTAGTATAAAACTGATAAAAATAGAAGGAGCACAAGTGGCTGCATATCTCTTGACCAAAAATGGGCAGCAGTGACTGCATTGTCTGTAGCTTCAAACAATTCTTCCTCTGTACATGAGGCAGGGCGTTGTGGACAAGCATACAGATGCAGAGTTGTTTGTTCTGTTCCACAGTCGCACAAGGTGGAGGATTCTTTTAGGTAGTGCCATTTTCCCAGATTGTCTTTCAATCTTCCTACTCCACTTCTGAGTCTGCTCAGAGACTTCCAGTTTGCCCATTCTTGCTTTTGATAACATAATATTATAACTGGAGTGCTTCAGATCTTCAGAAGAACCTCTTTTCTCTGTCCCAGAATTTTCTGGCTTTTGGAATGGAAACATAAGAGAAGGCCTTCTCAGTGGCTTCTCCCAGACTGAAATTTTCTTCTTAGGGAGGCTAGAATAGTTAGTCCTTGCTCTCTTTCCTACAGAAATTGAAAACATCAGATTTTTAGAACTGTCTCGAGAGGAATTTTAATGGTGCTGTGGTTCATATGTAACTTTTTGATTAATTTTAAGTTTTCTGATTTTATAAATTATTTATTTTAAAAGTAACTTTATACTTTTATTGGTATTTTTCCATAGTTTTTATTCTATTGTTTATGACATATTTCAGCCACCTTGAGTCTCGTTATTGAGGTGTGGGGAAAGTAGAATATAAATGAATTGAAATACTGTATTAACAGTAGCAGTTAAAAGATATATAGAAGAAAATGCATAGGAACCTGTAATAGAATCCAGCTCTTTCAGAAGAAACTGAGCAAACTCATCTCTTTTCCAGACCTTTCAGTTTAATAGGGTCATTTTCTCCATCAATGCCATGGGAGAGTGATAACTCATTCCATTTGGCTGTGAGCAGGGCACAATTGCCCTTGGCCCTGTAAGTCTTAAGAGCTTTTTGCTGATCTCTTTGTCTACCCCGCAGGTGATGAGCAGTCGTTTCCTGCCCTACGAGAATATTGTCACAGATGCTGTTCTAAGCCTCGATGAGGATACGGTGCTTTCAACCACTGAGGTGAGACCTTTTTTTCCTGTTCAGCTTGCCTGCCTTCATCATTATGTTTTTCCCCAGTCACGTTCACCAATTGATCACTGGGTTAACCGCAGCAGCCCAATTAAAGCAGATAGAGCAGGGGCATCACACAGGTTGAGAATTCCACACAGGTTGAGAATTCCAGGATCCAAAATCTGAAAATGGCCACACTTTCTGATGGTTCAATGCACACAAATTTTGCTTCATACGTTTAAAAAATGGCACAGGGAGGCCCTGAGTTACAAACATCCAACTTACAAACAACTCATAATTACAAACAGGGGTGAGACAAGTGAGAGAAATCTACCCATAAAGGGGAAATCCATTCCTGAAAGAGCTTTTATGAGGAAAAGATGTCTCCACTGAAGCTTTCTCACCAATCCTTGTTTCTACAACAATCCAAATTTTTCAAAATCCATTTATCACAGGGGAACATGCCCAGTGTGGAACACATCCCACCACGCTAAAACATTAAAGAGACATGCTGCATTATAACAGGGTGTCTGCACCCTCCACCACTGGAGAAATTGCACTGCTTAGCCGGTATTGCACCACCTGAAATCTGCCGGGAAGTAGCAGCCAATAGAGAAAGGACCAAGGCAGTGACATCTCCAGCCCATCCCCTGTTCGGATATCAGCCAGCACGCCAATGCCTTAAATCAAGAAATAGTTTTCTAAGATCTACAGAGATACTCACAGGAACACCTCAGCAAGCGATAGTCCAAAAGTGGCAGGCTAAAATCCAGAACCTCAATTCATGGCTAATACCAAATGAGAGACTCCCTCCTGGGCACACAGAAAACTGGGCTTCTTTGAAGGAACTGAACAGACTGTGCTCTGGCACCAAGAGATGCAGAGCCAACCTTCAGAAATGGGGCTACAAAGTGGAATCCACGACATGCAAGTGTGGAGAAGAGCAAACCACAGACCACCTACTGCAATGCAACCTGAGCCGAGCCACATGCACTAGTGCCTCTAGAGTTCTTAAAGCAACACTAGAGGCACTCCAAGTAGCCAGCTACTGGTCAAAGGAAATCTAGTATAATGCCAGGTTTTCAAACTTCATGGGTTTTGTTGTTGTTTGCTTTTAAAATATATTATAACTGTACCCTTGGTTTGCTCCTGATACGATTAAAAATACAAACAAATGGGCACAGACAGCAAAAGAGACACCACAAGGGTATTAACCCTTACCTATGATATCCAAAGGAGATAGATAGGTAGGGGTGTGTGTGTGTGTGTGTGTGTGTCTGGAGTTGCACTTAAGAACAAACCTACAGAACCTCTCTTGTTAGTAACTTGAGGACTGCCTGTATATCAAATGACTTTCTTGCTATGAGCATAAGATGTCTGTAAAACATTAATGGAATTTTTTTTGTAGACTTGTCATCTTCAAGATATCTCATTATATATGTGCAATTATTTCAAACCTAAAGAAATTGGAAATACAAAACACTTTTGATACAAAACATTTCAGATTGGGGATATTCAGCCAGCATTACAGTTTCCACCATTGACCATCACTCCCAATACAATTCAATCCTGTTCATCAGGTTCAGAGTGATATTACTTAGCACAGCTTGGAAACAATTACACAGTCCAACGAAAAAAAATCTTGGTGTCTTGGTTTTTAGGCCTGTTCCTGGGGTTATTTGAAGAATTGACTCGATGGCAACTGGTAGATGCCATATGTTCTGTATCTCAAGAGCTAGAGCTGGCAGAAAACTGGTGCCATTTTTGGAATCATCAGGTTAGGAGCAACTTGTTAAACTGCAAGTCGCTTCTGGTGTGAGAGAATTAGCTATCTGCAAGGATGTTGCCCAGGGGAACACCCAAATGTTTTTGATGTTTTACCATCCTTGTGGGAGGCTTCTCTCACGTCCCCACATGGGGAGCTGGAGCTGACAGAGGGAGCTCTCCTCAGATTCAAACCAGGGTTTAACCCATTGCACCATGGGGGCCCCATGAAACAGAGCTAACATTTGAGACACTAAAATGTATGTTGGCCAGTGTTATTGTTTGGACTACAGGGACCATGCTGGATAAGGATTCTGGGACTTGTAGACAGAGAAATAACTTGAAGCTCTACTAATAATGCACCAGATTCCAATTTCTGCATGAATGCAAATAAAAGGAAGGACATATTTTTTTCAAAAAGTCTGAAATATCCGCAGCCTGATACCTCACTTTGAAAGGAACATTGCTGCTTGAAAGGCAGACATTTCCATCTTGGTGCCTGGGCTTGATTTCTGTGTCCCTGCTTCCTGCATCTCAGAGCCGAACCCAATCTCTCTCCTTGAATGAAAGTAGATTCTTGTACTTGAGACTTCAGAGCTATTGTGCCAAGAGGAAGATTGTGCTCAAGGAAAAAGCCACAGGAGGAAAAAGAGAGAGGCCACTGAAGAAAACCAATTTTTACAACTGGGATGAGTATTGATTTCTAGCACCTTTCCCCAGAAGGGGGAAACTGGCGACCGTTTATATAACCCTGCAATATATCGGAAATACATTATTAATGGTGGCTGTGGAAAAGCATTGGGTCTTTATTGTCTCTTTCGATTTTAGCACTCTCCTTTTTTCTCTTTCTCTGCGTCTTGTCTCTTCCCTCATCTGTTCTGTTTAAATGTACCAATTCTCCCTTAGGAATGGCAGCTGCTGTTACTTTGGAGATAATGCCCTTGTTGCTTCTAAGAAGGCAGTCTCCCCATTCGTTGTTTGTGGAGATGCCTTTATTTGCATGTGTATGAGTTTATGTTTCTAATATGCATAGGCATCATAAATATATTGCATTACCACTCCAATATCAGTCATAGTGCTGGTTATAACTTGCAGGGAAGATGTCCGCTACAGAAGAAAGAACATTCCTGGAATAGAAATAAGATATCTTTTACCTTTGAAAAGGCTGGAGATTGCATTTGCCTTTCTTCAAGATTAATTCCAGAGCTGTTAACATGTAGATGGAAACAACATGGTCTCTAATCCTATCAACTAGGAGCCCCTGGTGGCGCAGTGGGTTAAACCCCTGTGCCGGCAGGACTGAAGACTGACAGGTCGCAAGTTCGAATCCGGGGAGAGGCGGATGAGCTCCCTCTACCAGCTCCAACTCCTCATGCGGGGACATGAGAGAAGCCTCCCACAAGGATGGTAAAAGATCAAAACATCCTGGCGTCCCCTGGGCAACGTCCTTGCAGACGGCCAATTCTCTCACACCAGAAACGACTTGCAGTTTCTCAAGTCGCTCCTGACACGACACGACGATCTTATCAACAGCCCAGGAATGAGGAGTATGTTGACCTCACACAGGGGTTGCTATCACCTTTTATAGAGATAGAGATAGAGAGATCATCCAGTCTGACCCCCTGTCGTACAGGAAAAGCACAAAGCAGATGGTCATCCAGCATCTTGGGCAGCCCTAAACAGGTTGGGGCCCGCCTATCTTCATGACTGCATCTTCCCCTACGAACTAGTACATACTCCTAAGATCATGTGGGGAGGCTCTTCTCTCGTTTCCACCGCCGTTTCAAGCGCGGTTGGTGGGGACGAGGGAAAGCGTCTTCTCTCTGGTGGCCCCTCAGCTCTGGAACTCTCTCCCCTGGGAGATCAGACAGGCCCCCACTCTGCTCATTTTCCACAAGGAATTAAAAACTTGGTTGTTCTGTTGTGCCTTTGGCTAGACAGTTCACTAGAGAATTTTTCCAACCCTACCTAGTTTCCGCACTTTGATTGGTCCCTTCTTTGCACTGGTGAGAACAGAGTAAAGAGCATTTTCCAGTTTCTAGAGTGGTCCTGAAGCCCACATTCTTTCAGGGTATGGCTTTTCCTTAATTTCTCCTTATTTTCCAACATTTTTGCTTATCCAACGTTCTGCTGGCCCGTTTATGTTGGATAAGTGAGACTCTACTGTACAAGATATCACCTTAACAGGAAGGACAGGGAAAGGGGAATATGTTTACTTAGTTCCTTAGCCATAATTTATATTGCTGTTGTTGAGGAGTATATATGCCACCTTGCTTTAACAGATTTCTTAGCAATATACAAAATTCATGAAATAACCATCAAACCTATTGGTTTAGTTAATTATTTTATGTGCTGCCTTGCTTCCGATTATGGAATCCATCTTTTCTGTCTTTCTACCACCATGCCTTTCATCTTCTCTTTACTTTTAGCTTCCTCTTGTCCTCCGGCCTAAAGAAGGGTTTGGGGGAGGGAAAGGCAGACTATTTTCTCATTGCAGATCACTTGCAGAGGAGCCCTTAGTGGCACAAAGGGTTAAACCCTTGTGCCGGCAGGACTGAAGACTGACAGGTTGCAGGTTCAAATCCAGGGAGAGCATGGATGAGCTCCCTCTGTCATCTCCAGCTCCCCATGCGGGGACATGAGAGAAGCCTCCCACAAGGATGGTAAAACATCAAAACATCCAGGCATCCCCTGGGAATCACCCTTGCAGACAGCCAATTCTCTCACACCAGAAGTGACTTGCAGTTTCTCAAGTCTGTCCTGACATGAAAAAAAGAAAACCTGCAGAGGTTTTTCAGCAATTGGCTAAAATTTCAGAAAGTCCAGAAATTTTGACTGAGGGCTGCAAGTTGCTCAAGTCCGCTGAAATAAAAGGAGAGAAAATGTTGTGATGCCATGCATCTGTTAGGACAAGGATAAGAAAGAAGCATACTAGGGTGAGCTTTCTCTGGCAAGGTAGCATCCAGATCTGTGGGACGGCAGCTCCTACAGTCCCTCAGTCTGATGCTCCTGGCATTTTTCAGCCTTATCAGAAGGCCTGTGTTATGAATTCTATGCAATGATAATCCAGATTAAATGCTGGAAAATGGGATGCTAAAACCAGTAATCCAAATTAAGCCTCTTTGCATCAATTTCCCTGCTTTGCATATTTCAAGGGAGAGAACGTAAGAAAGAGAAAATATAGCTCATTACAATTCTACCTACTGACCTCTTGTACCATCCGCCTCACCTTGCTATTCCTTACC